TTGCGCCCTCGACGCCACAACCACTTGTAAAGTGTACGATATGCGTGTCCTGGATGCCACAAGACCTCGTAAATCATACAATGGTTGCGTCACCGAGGCCACGGTCCCCAGTAGATTACGCCATGTTCGCGTCACCGAAGCCACTGTCCCACATCAACTATGACGTGTTCACTTCCTCGAGGCCAGCAACCACAATCAATTACAGAATATGTGTGTCACCGAGGCTTCTATCATCCGTACATGACAATTCTTACAGTCCTCGAAGCCACGATCATTTTGTAAATTACGCTGCGTCTGCGTCCCCGAGGCTGCGATCCCTAGAAAATTACGCGATGCTCGCGTCCCGAAACCACGATCGTCAACAAGTTCGCAATGCGAACCGTCAGAAGTCGATACTTGGTGTCCAACTTTGCTGTGGCATTTGTGACGTATGATATTGGCCCTCGCGTGAAGTCCCGACATTGCTTCACGACGGCGCCCCTGCATCTCAACTTAGCTCTGGCATGCCCCATTCTCAGAGAGAGGGGGCCGGCGTCAATGGGCGAATCCCTTACGGATCATGTTCGATGTTCACAACAGATGGGAGGTTGGTAACGGCTGCATCTCAAAACTGGACTCTCGATTGGGACTTCCTCGCAGTTCATGGCCAGAAGTTGGACTTCGTGCAGTTGTTGCACGGACGGCAGGGCGTTATTGTTTCGAAAGGGGGATCTCGCTGCACACCTCGATGCACTGTATGATCATCGTTTGCGCCTCCCTCGACAAACGCATGAAAGTTTAAAGACAGCCCCTTTTCAAAACGGGACCCTCGCAAAAATAATGGGCCGATGTGGTGCTGGCCTTCAACGGGGGTCGCGTCTGGTAAATGGAGAGCTTGCCTGCAGGGACGCACTTGGAGAGGGCTTTGGGACGGGAGGGTTCTTGCAAGCCCGCGGATGCATCTTAGGCTTGTCCTGGTCCTTGTCCTCCCCCCTACCCCCCGCCCTCATCCTCCGTCTGCTCTTGCATCCCTGGACAGAATGAACTTCTATGTTGAACCCAGGACGATGAAACATTCAGATGGGATCTCTCTGAGATCCGGCGGCTCTACAAAATGTATCGGGCCCCGCACCTTCCCGAAGCGCTCCGGAACGCGCTGAAACCGTTCCGGAACGCTCTGGAACCGATTTATCCTCGCCCTAGCCCCGTCCGAATTCACCCCCTGTCACACCATCAGGGCGTGGCTTAATGGGGGGTCGTAAATGGGGGGGTCAGAAAAGATCCCCTTTCGTGCCCCTTTCGGGCCCCTCCGGAGCCTCAGGGGGCTCGTTTAGGTACCGTTTGGGTACCAGTTTGGACCAACCTCGCCACCCCCCATCCAACGCGTCCGCAGGACACGCCAGGCATTTCGCTTGACACTTCATGACAGATGTACTCTCCTCGAACGTAAAGCTCCAACAGGTATACGGAGGAGCGCAGGTCTTGAAAATACAACTCTCGCCTTGGCGCCGCGCACATTCGCTACTTAAAGTTCGCGACCAATTCCAGGGATGGTGGGCCGATCGGTTTTGAACTGCGGCTCTCACCCGTGCCACCCACATTTTCAATTGCAACGTTTGCAGCAGGCACCAAGATGGAGGACGCTTCCCTTGAATCTCAAGCCTCCCGTGTTGGGTTCTCGTTTTGAACAGAGCACTGCAGTCTCCACGTCTCCTTTTTCCCCCTCCCCCCTCTCCCTCATGCTAAGATGGAGGACGCTTCCCTTGAATCCCACGCCTCCCGTGTTGGGTTCTCGTTTTGAACAGAGCACTGCGGTCTCCACGTCTCCTTTTTCCCCCTCCCCCCTCCCTCATGTTGGAGGCCTGGAAATTGGCACCAACACCAGCACAGGGGGTTGCCTCCACATGGGGAAGATGCTCCTAGATTTCGGTGTTGGTGGTAATATTTCGGTCACCTTGGAAGCCAGAATATTACCACCATCACCGAGATCGGGATCGTCTGCCCTCGGTGGAGGCACACCCCCGATCTTTGTGTTGGTATCAACCTCTAGGCCTGCGATACTTCGTGCCTCCTGCCTCCCCCTTCCTTCTCTCCTTCGTCCTGCTTGCCTGTGCAGCCCCGTTGTGGCTCTGGCTCTGTCTCGTCGCCACTCTCGCGGGCTCCCCGGGAGGCTCTCCGCGGAGCGAAGTGGCAAACAGAACCAGCAGAGACCTCGCGGGTCCCTGGTGGGCTGCGAGGTGCGCAACTGTGGCCACTCTCGTGGGCCCCTGGGAGGCTCAGCGGAGTGGAGTGGCAAACAGACCCAGCCGAGACCTCGCGGGTCCCTGGGGGGCTGCGAGGTGCGCAACTGTCGCCACTTTCGTCGGCTCCTGGGAGGCTCAGCGGAGTGGAGTAGCAAAGCCGAGAGCTCGCGGGTCTCTGGGGGACTGCGAAGTGCGCAACCGTCGCCACTTTTGTGGACTCCTGCGGGTCCTTCAAAATGCTCGTTTGGTTTGATCGGTCTTGTTTATCATCGCCACATGTGTAGACAGGGTTGGCCATCGCTAATAACTATCCCGAAATTGACCGATGATCCAGATACTTGAAATACGTGCGCTTCGCGCATGTTTAGGTTCTAGCCAAAGCAATTGCCGTATGCTCGTCCTATCTACGTATACGCCTCATCCCGCATCCCCAGTCATCTCACTCCTCCTCGCCATTCTCCTTCTCATCGTCCTTCTCTTCTCTTCACTCTTCCTCATCTGAAGGGGGGGGTTCTGTAGAACTCACGCCATCCCGAGCCCCGGCGCGCGAAGAGATGAATCGACGCCGCTTCCTGCACCGTCTGTGTACGCGTTGTCTCGGGCGATCCTCTGGGCGTCTTCGCCCGTACAGGGGCGCGGTGTGGAGCTCTTGCGGGCAGGACTCCCGGGGCGTGCTGGAGTCTCTTGGAGCCTCTTGGGAGGGCCATCCTCGCTTCCTTCGGCGGCGAGCGAGGGGGGGAAATGAGAAGGAGAATACCTTCTCAGAAGGTTCGGACCCCCCCTGGCCCTCTAAACAGTGTTCTAATTAAACCTTCCGCGAAGACAAAACTTCTCAAAGGCCTCGAGGGCTTCTGGAAAGTCCCGCCGCCTACTGAGAAGGCCTCCTCCTTCTCTCTTTCCCCCCTCGCTCGCCGCGGATTACTGTGGCTCCTCGGCGGGCTGTTTGGGGGCACGGTCTGGAATCGCAGGTCTACTTTTCCGGGAGGGCCTCAAAGCCTTCTCGAAGGCACCCTGGAGGCAGTTTTGAAGCCCCTTGGGCCCCCTGGGGGCCTCTTTGGGCCCTCTTGCGGGCCTCCTGGGAGCCTCTGGGCGCGTCTCGGGGGCGTGCTGGAGCCCTCTTGGAGGCATCGGTAGACATCTTGGGGAGGAGGGACCGAGATGTCAGCTCGGCCTCCATCTCTTGGGTCCCTCCTGGAGATCTCTGGGGGCCCTGTTGGGCCGTTTCCGGTGCGTCTTGGGCCCTGTTGGAGCCCGTTTTGGACGTCCTGGGGCTCTCTTCTCTTGGGCCGACTTGGGGCGAGGTTGATGGCCTCAGTGGTCGTTTCGGACGGCGTTGAAGCCGAATAAGCGCCGAGGCGAAAAATATTCGCTTCGCTGTGGGCATGCGCCGATGTTTGCCCATCGTGGCCTTCTTGGAGGTCCTCTTGGAGCGCTCTTGGGGCCTCTTGGAATCCTCTTCGACCGCTTGAGCCGCCTCGCGAGCCGTCTGGGAGCCCTCGAGTCCGCATCGGAAGCGATTCGGGGCTCTCTTCAGCCGCCCTGGCGGCGGTCTGCTCGCGCTGGGGGCCGATCTGCGGCTCTCCGTTCTCGGTCGTGGCTCCGGGCCAAGGCCCCCCAAACCAAATCCTCTGCTACATAAGGGGGCTCGGCCACAAGAAACCTCCGCAAGAAACCCAACCCTGAAATCCGCGATTTGTGCAGTGGAAATCCAAATTTGTCCATCGAACATCGTCAAGATCTTGTTGATGGTCCATCGAAATCCAAGAAACCAAAGAACCTGGCAGAATCTGACTGGATCGACGACGACGACGCGGACGACGATGACGATGACGATGACGACGACGACGACGACGACGAGGACGAGGACGACGACGACGAGGACGACGACGACGACGAGGACGACGACGACGACGACTACAACGACGACGACGACGACCGCCACCACAACCGCGAAAATCACCACAACGACGACGACGACGACGACGACGACGACGACGACGACGACGACGACGACGACGACTACGGGGACGACGAATGGCAGGTGGAAGCGGGGCGGCGGAAAAAGGTAAGGCGGAACAAGACCGGGTTGAACACGGCCGGGATGAACAGGGCCGGCGGAACGGGGACTTAGTGGATTTGAAGCAGTCCGCAAATACAGTGAGGGCGCGCGTCGTCGTGTTCGGCCTCGTTGCAGTCGGCGTCATCGTCATCATCATCATCCGCGTCGTCGTCGATCATCAATCGTCAGTCGTCGTTCGTCGAGGCCATCGCAGTCGTTGTCGTCGTCGTCATCGTCAGCTGTCGGTCGCCGTCGCCATCGCAGTCATCGGCGGCGTCTTTGTCGTCGTCGTCGGTGGTGGCGTCGTCGTCGAAGGCACTCTTCCACACGGTCGTCGTCGGCGTCGCTCTCCTCAATATCGTCGTGGTCGTGGCCGTCGCTGCGTCGCTTCCAACGCCTCCCATCCTCGCTTCTCCCTCCCCCTCCCCTCCTCCCCAAACATGCGAATTCTTGTTTTTTTCAATGCGGGGCCCCTGGAAGTCCCGACCAGTTCCCTGGGACCGGTTGTTCATCCTGAATCGTTGTTTGACGGTCCCGAGCCCGGCGAGGGCTCCCAGGGGCCGGCGTCGGCCAAAACCTCCCGTCCTGATCATTTTTTACGACGCGATCATGTCTGGGACCCGTTACGCCTTCCTCCCTCGTCCCTGCCCCCCCCCCTCCGCTGGTGCGGAGCGCGCGCGCGCGCGTTTGCCGCGGGCGGGGGGCGGCGGCCGAGAAGCCTGCGAGACCGCCATGGCCGCCCTGGACTGGGCGGGCGGCGGCAGCGGGACGAGGAGGGGCGAGGGGGGGCGAGGGGGGACGAGGAGGGACGAGGAGGGAGGAGGGGGGAGGAGGAAGGGAGGAGGGAGGGAGGAGGGAGGGAGGCGGTCAGAGACATGCCTGCGTCGCGAGGGCAAAAAGATGGGGGCGGGAGAGGTTCTTGGGCTGTTCTTGGCATCGGGGGGCCCTCACTGGGCCCCCGGGACCGTCACACGCGCCCTCCTGCATCCTGCCCACCCGCCTCCCCGTCCCTCGCCTCCCTGCCAGCTCCCATCTTCCCTTCTCGTTCTATCTCCCCTCCTCCCCCCCCGCCCCCCTCCGCCTGCCCCTCAGAATCATCATTATAATCCTCCCTCCGCCTCTCCCCTTCATCATCATTATATTATCATCCTCCCTCCCTCCCTCCCTCCCTCCCTCCCTCCGTCCAGCCTCCCCTCCCAACACTGCGAATCTCACCAGCCCTCTGGGCGTGAGTAGATTAGGGGGCTTCCTCTTCCAACCCCCTTCTTCCCCTTCGGGGAGGGTTTACCCATCCCCCTCCCCCCCTCACCCTACCCATCGGTCGAAAGACGTAGGTAGAAACATGAAGTAGGAAGGCGTTGAAAATAGATCGGGTGTCCGCCCGCCCCCTGAAGAGGACGGAAAAGGTGACGCCACTCGATCATTGAAGTAGGAAGTCGCTTCAAACATATTGTAATCTGGGACTCCAAAGATACCAACTTTCAACGAACGATGGGTAGACAAGGACGGGAGGTTCTGCGAGGCGTTGGAGCGTTCAAGATATCCCAATACGGCTCCCAGAGGGTGTCAGAGAGCCTAAGATGACGTCCAAGATTGCCCAAGATACTACAAAGTGCTCAAGATGGCTTCCAACATGCTCCAAGAGGTCCCACGACCCCTCCAAGACGGGTCCACGTGGCCTCGGAGCCTTCAAGGTAGGTTTCCAAGAGGCCGACTTCCTTCAATCACCATGATTTGGCCTTTCCCGCCCTTTCGCTTCCGATGAGCTCCTGAGGCCTCAAGATGGTTCCAAGATGGCCCAAGGGGGCCCCAAGAGCGGCTCCAGAAAGCCCACGAAGGCCCAGAGAGTGCCGAAGAGTGCTCTAAGAGGGCCCTGAGAGGCGACTTTGGGGGCTCCAGGGGGGGAGCCCTATTTGAGTACTCCTCTTCCCCCATCAACGAAAACGCTGAAACCACTAAATTATGTTTGAACGATTTGGGCTGTTTCGGAAGTATCCTTCGGTCACTTTTGGCCAATGGAGCCGTCGCTGGTTGCGATGCCAAGCTTCTTCCAGAACCTACCGCGCAGAACTCGTGACGGAAGGAAGAGCGCAATAGCGCGGTGTGTAAGACCTGGGAAGTATGTACAGGGAGCATGAACGGTGATGGTATGTGCCCTGCGCTCAGGCCAAACCTTCTGCAGGATCCTCCTGCGTTGCTCCCCTCTCCTCCTCCCCCCTCCTCTCTTCGCTCCTCCCCCTCTCTCCTCCGCCCTCTGGCTCCTCCCTCCTCTCTGCTCCTTCTCGCTTGTCCTCCTCCTGCTCCTCTCCACCCGAACACCACATCCCGCGCGGAGCCACCCCAACACCACATCCCGCGCGGAGCCTCACCCACGCCGGGCGCAGCGCGCCCCGGCCGCACCCCTGGCCCAGCCCGCTCCCCCTCCGAGAGCTGGCGGGCGGCGAGGTCGAGGAGCGCGGCAGCGGGGGGGGAGGGAACAAGGGGCGCGCGCCAGGGGCGGCGCGGGCGGGGCGCGCGGCGGGGGCCGGACCTCAGCCTCCCCCTCGCGCTGCGTTTGGATGAGGGCCCCCCCTTCAGGCCTCGGGGGCTTGTCCGGGGAAGGCGCGCTTCACCCATTCCGCCAACCCGCACGAGAAGGACGCACGATAAGATTGCCAGGGCCTTGGAAGGCCATGCGGACACTTTGCGAGCGGGGCGCGGCTAGCGAAAGCGGCCAAAGATGGGCCGAAGGGGGGGGGTGCAAGGATGGCCTCGGAAAGTCGCTCATCCTCACTACGCGAGTTCACTGTAGACACGCTTCGCCTCGCCTAGGCGGGGGTGGGGGCGCAGAAAAGGGAAAGGGAAGGAGGAGGAGGAGGGGGAGGATGATGAGATCGGAAGAGGTAGGATTGCCGAGCGTTTGCGTTGCGTTGCGCCCGAGGAGGAGGAGGAGGAGGAGGAGGAGGAGGAGGAGGAGGAGGAGGAGGGAGGAGGAGGAGGGAGGAGGAGGAGGAGGAGGAGGAGGCATCTGAAAACGAGGAGGAGCAGAAGGAGGAGGAGAAACAGAAAGAGGAGGAGGAGGGAGAAGGAGGGAGGAGGAGATGGAGGAGGAGACGGATGAGGAGGAGGGGGAGGAGGAGGAGGAGGAGGAGGAGGAGGAGGAGGAGGAGGAGGAGGAGGAGGAGGAGGAGGAGGAGGAGGAGGAAGAGCGCCAAGGACAAAACACTGGCGCGGGCAGCCCGGGCGGGGCACGCGGCAGGGCCAGGCAGGGCGGGGGGGGGGGCGGGAGAGAAAGCGTGGGGACGGCCCTCCCCCTCCTCGGCCTCCGTCGCTTGTCCTTTCAAATGAAATCCTCCCCGTCGCACCCCGATCGGGGTGAACAAAGGTGGGGGCGGCGCGGGCGGGGCACGCGGCAGGCAGGAGCGCCCGCGTCGGGCACGAGGAGCGACACTGCTGCTGGGGACAGGCGAGGTCCCCCGAAGATGCAAAGTACGGAGCTGTGGAATCGAAGAGATCGGCACGGGTCTTAAGAGGCGGGAAGAAATAAGAGCAGGTGTGGCCAGATGAAGCGGGAGGCCGGGGGAGTCAGAAGGGCGAGAACCGAAGGAGGACGTTCATGAGGGATATCGGGGGATGGAGCAGGGAACCGAAGGGGGAAGGAGTGAGGAGGAACTGTACTCCGTGGCAAGCGAAGGGGGGAAGTGAAAAGGAAAAGGCCTTGACAGAAGGCGGAGGGACTTCTCAGAAGTCCCCGCGACTTCTAAGACATGTTCTGCGTCTTCGGGAAGACTTGGGGAAACTTCTCAGAGGCCGGCGGACTTCTGAGCCTTCTGAGAAGGCCCGCCACCTCTCACTTCCCTCCCGGCTACGCCGCCGAGGCACAGTGAGAGCTCGACCACAAGAAACCTTGCACAAGAAACCCAACCATGAACCCCCAGGATGCTCACTGTTCGTTCGCATGGGAGCGTCACGCTCCCCATCGCAAAATCATCGAACCTGAGAGGCCCAGGGCATCTTGGCGGCAAGCCGGGTGTTTCTTGGCATGGGCTTCTACTGTAGGGGGGACTGGATCGTGGGGGGAGCTTTGGCCTGGCATCGGCGATGCATCGCCGATAGGTCCGCGACACGTCCCCGATGCCGAGATCGCACGTTCCTGGGAGGGGCAGGCTATCAAACCCCTGTCCGCGCAGAGGTGTCCCCCCGCTCTCGTCTGAGCCCATGCCCCCATCAGCGTTGCCCCTGAAGGACAGACACGGGAGTGAGAGGGAAGGTTCCCTCCATGTGCGCCGAGCCATCCCTGGTGCCTTCCCTGAGTCCATCGCGACTTCCTGCGCGCCTCCTGGGGCATTGCTCACATACCCTTTTGCATGCACGTCAGCCTTGCAACTCAAAGCTTGAAGCTTCAACCTTAAAACTGGTGAGCCACAGTCAAGCATGCACATTTGCGACGAAGGAAACAAAAAAAGAGGACGCGCCAACGGAGTGGCTGTGAGACAAGCGCATGGACAGAGGACTGGTCAAGTCGTCGGTCGCTCAACTGTGCCCCATGACCCATGGACAATCAGCCCCCCACCCCCTCCCCTTCTGCGGTGCGACTGTACGGCACAACGAGGATGAGACATGGCTCTGGCTGTGCAACTTTGGACAAGCCAGGGCCCTTCCATGCGCTTCCTGCGATGTGCAGACCGCGGTTCGCAGCAAATCGTATGCGCCACGAGGACGATGCTGAAAAAGTGCTGCCCGTCATCTCCTCTTGATCACAACTTCAATTACTCCTCTGTTCGAACGTCTTGCCTCGATCCTTGCCCTGCCCGAGCAACCTCCCGCCTTGACATCTGATGTTCAGTGGGAACAGCCTCGCGCGCGGGATCCGTGAGCCCCAAAATCTGGAGGAGGTCTGACTCCGGGCCACCGACGCCGCGAGGGCCCCCCGCGCCTCCTCCGCCGTGCGGACACGGCAGAGGAGGAGCCAATCGATCCTTAGAATCTGTGCAACACGGCCTGCCCCGCGTCGGTCGCAAGCCGCGACCGGGGCCGTGACCTCGCCAACCGGAAGAGAACTGGACGGGGAAAAGCAGCTCCCCCGCGGCGAAAAAGGCGGCGATAGGCCGTGGGGCCACGATGAAGGGGGTCGCGTCCGCGACGGCTGGCGCAGAGCTGTAGGCCCGCGGGGGCCTGCAGAGCAGGGCCCCCGCGCCATGATTAATCAGCATCCTCCTGCCGCCGCCGCCCTCTCTTCTCGCCCCGCCCCCTCTAGTACATGGGCCCGCGGGCCGCGCCACAATGGCGCCCAATGAAGTGGCCCAAGGCTTGACACTGCCTCGCGGGCGCCTGCGTGGCAAATCCCGCACTTACCCTGTGAGGGCAGCCTGGTATGACGATCAAGATGGTGGAGGAGGAAGACAAGAACGAGGACGAACGCCCGTATGCCTACAGGAAAGGAGGACGGGGGAAGGCGATGACGTCCTCAGAGCCTCACGACGGCCTAGCGTAGCTCGTCGGCAAGTGCGCGCCTCAGCATCTTCTTCACGCGCCTCTGGTGCTTCTTGCGCTGCGTCTGGTACTGGCGCTGCCCCATGCCGCCTGGGCATGTCTGCTGTGGCGACTCCACGGCAGACGGGCTGGAGCAAAGGCGGGCGTCCACAAGGGCTGGAACAGACGCGGAGCGTGGAAGCCGCTGCTGCCGAAAGCATGCATCGACCTCGTCCACGACGTGAAGGAACGTCGCCTTGCACTCGACGGTGTAGCCGGGCCACGGCTGCCTCTCGTCCGAAGAGGCGGCGGCCGAACCGCACGAAACGCCTGCCGCAGAGGAGGCCATGAGTGGAAGGGATCGACCTGGCCACGGGATGCTCCTAATCGAACGCCGCTCGACCGATCTTAACATACAAGGTCTTTGAGCCAGAGCAGCTTGAGCAGATACACCCTGCGAAATGCTTAAGAAATCATGGGTTAAGAAATTCATAGTCTCAGAACTTGAATAAAAAACCCAGGATGTATATTCAAATCTTGGGATTTACATTCAAACATTAAGAGTAATCGAGACTCGGGCCGAAAACTTGGGTTTTCTTGAGCATCGCCTAAGGTGTAGAGGGCACCGGTGAATGGGCGATTGTGCCCTCCATCTGCCATGCATGGGCGATTGGGGGGTCGAGGCTCCCCCCCCCCCTGAGACTATGCACTCCGTGGCAGAGTGCTCCACGGCTCTCGCCCTCGCGCCGCGCGTGCTCGCTCAGGGTTCTCGCACGAGCTTCGCGGATGGAGGGCAGGCCGTTCTCGGCGTTCAGAGTTTGCACGAGCTTCACGGATGGAGGGCAGGCCGTTCTCGGAGGGCGGTTCTCGCCTGAGCGCCGCGCGCATTGGTCCTCTAAACGGCTGCACGAGCTTCCACAGATGGAGCGCAGGCCGTGTTCAAGATGCGGCCCTCGCTCAGGCGATGCGCAGATCTGTCTGTCGTGCAGCAGCTTCACGGATGGGGGGGCGGCTCCTTTCCAAACCAGGGTTCTCGCATCAGCGCCGCGGACATCAGTTCTCTAAGATGTCACACCGTCGTCACGCATTCTCATGGTCCACGTTCCCAACATGGCGACTTGGCGCGATTTCGGACTGTCAGGGTGATTCGTGGTGTTGGAATCCCAAAAATTGTGTTTTGGCACTGTTCAAGATCGTTATCACGCACCAGAAATTGTGATTCGCGACGATGAAGTCCCAGGAATGGTGCCTTGGCACAGTTCAGCATTCCCAAATGCTTGTCTTCCAACGTAGCACTTCCCTCAACGAAGATGGATCCTTGTAGGGACCCATGACGGCGGAGTTTGGAGGCAGGGGCTGTTGCAATATCGTTGATGGGTCTTGGGTTGCCAGTGGTCATTCTCCTCCTCCTCCTCCACCTCCTCCTCCTCCACCTCCTCCTCCTCCTTCTCATTATCCTCCTCCTCCTCGAACACATTCCACGGGTCTCTTACCACAGGGCGGTTGCCTTGCGGAGACAGGGGCCCGAAATCAGACTTGCACTGGACAGGTGATTGGGGATGGGTGGACTGGCGCAGCTTTGCGACATGCGATCGTGGGCGCTAGCCGTGGCAGAGTATCACACAGGTTGCCAATCGGGGCAGCGATCAACGTGAGAGATGGCATGAAATACTGGAGGAGGGGGAGGAGGAAAAGGAGGAGGAAGAGGAGGAGGCGAGAAGGGGGAGCAGGCAGGACGACCAGCAGCGGCACGCTTCGCACTCAGCGTGCCGCCTGGCCACGGGGGCCGTCACGGAGCCGCGGCTGCTGGGCGAGCAAAGGAGTGACCGAGCCAAGGACAGCACCAAGACCTGGGACCCACATTCGTGTGTGACAATGTTCCGCGTCGCAGCACATCGTTCGCCTGCGGCGCAGGGGCAGCAGTCCCGCGGCCGCGCGCCACTGCCCTTCGAGGCCGCGCGGGAAGCAACCGCAGGAGGCC